AGTAGTATAACATTTGGAATAAGAATATGAACCCGAGCTCACTCTGTATCAAATTTTAGCTCTGCCATATGATTTTGGGCAAATTACTTAAACTTATTTGCTAAAACTTCTTCACCCAGAGAAGTAAATAATATTTTTATGTAAATAACTTAGAAATGTCCCTGAAAATAATGAGTTAAAAAATGTTAGCCTTTATAACATTGCCCTAACCAATAGGAAACATCACACGTAAAACACTAGATGTATTCTCTTTAAAATCAGCAATGACANAAAAGAATTTAAAAAATCAAAGATGAAATAAAAAAACCTGAAAAGATTTATAACCACTAACATTCTACAACCTCAAATCACTAAATCTATACTTTTACATACTTCTAGCAAACATTTAAGAAATAGATCGTCCCTATTTTACACAAACTATACTAAATACTAGAAAAGAGAAAAAATTCACAAAATTAAGCAGTTGTATAATCATGATCAAAACTAGACAAGGTCGATATAAGGAAGGAAAATTATAGACTAATCTCATGGTAATAGAGCAATGATAATTTACATTTTTAATAGGTAATACACATATGACATTATATACCATAATTACAGAAATTTAATATTCAGTGTACTGAAATCAGCAAATTGGTTGTATCTCACAAATATTGGGTTTTCGGAAAAGTCATGATGTATTTTTTCTGGTTTTCGTCGCAAAAATGCGTCATGACTTTTCCAACAACCCAATATAAAGATATTTTAATGTTAGAAAGACTATAATAAATTTATAACATTAAGAGCTTCACAAAATAAAATCGTGTGATATTTTCAACAGCTGATTAAAAAGCAGTTGATAAAATTCAATCCTATTCACCATTAAACAATTTAGTAAACCAGGAATGGACGAGAATGTCCCATAATTTATAAAGAATATCTCTAAGTAGTATAACATTTGGAATAAGAATATGAACCCGAGCTCACTCTGTATCAAATTTTAGCTCTGCCATATGATTTTGGGCAAATTACTTAAACTTATTTGCTAAAACTTCTTCACCCAGAGAAGTAAATAATATTTTTATGTAAATAACTTAGAAATGTCCCTGAAAATAATGAGTTAAAAAATGTTAGCCTTTATAACATTGCCCTAACCAATAGGAAACATCACACGTAAAACACTAGATGTATTCTCTTTAAAATCAGCAATGACATGTTTTGATAGCTATCACTGTTTCAGTTTGACATAGTATTGGAGTTCCTACCCAGAACATTAAGCCAAGGCAGGGGTGGGAGGTAGTATGTATAGACTAGAAAAAAGCAGAACTGTCACTGTTTGTATAGAAAATACAAAAACTCCACAAAACTATAATAACTAATGAAAGAGTTAAGCAAGTTTGGGAGATATTGCGTAATTACAAAAATTCATTGTGGCCTTATTATTAGCAAAAATGAATGAAACCTAACAATACAAGTATTACTTAATTATAATGAAAACTATAAGACATTTAAGATTTAGATGAGAAAACTTTTATAAAGAAAATCATAAACCATCACTAAAAGATACAGGTAAATTGAGAGATTTGCCATATTTATGGATGGGAAGATTAAATATACTACTTCACTTTATTCCCAAATATCTTATAAATTCAATCCAGTCTCAATCAAGTTCAAAAGGTAGAACAAGCTTAATTTTAAAGTCAAATCAAAAGTTCAAAAAGTTAATAGACACCAAGACAATTTTAAAGAATAAGGTGGTATTCTCTGCCTATCTCATATCATGACTTATTTTAAAGCTATAGTAGTAAAATTTGGAGAAATCTTGGCCTGGAAATAGAAAAGTAGTTCTATGAAACAGAACAAGGAATTCAGAAGCAGACATACAGATACTGGATATTTGACAGCAATAGCATTATCTGTCAATAAACAGTGTTAGGACAATTGATTGTCTATATGGAAAAAATTTGATTGTCTATATAAAATTGAATTCCTAGCTTATACAAAAATAAACTCACATACATAAAAGAGACTAAAGGTGAAAAGCCAAACTTCAAAACTTTAGAAAAAGTTTAGGAAAATGCCTTTATGCCCATCATAATAAAGAAGGATTTTTTATTCAAGGCATGAAAAGCACAGACCTTGAAGAAGAGAAAAGATTAAAAATTAATATTTTTAAACTTCTGTACAGCAAAAGAAACCAGAAATCAAGTGAAATCACTTGCCAAAGATGGTGGCAAAATTTTTACAACATAGA